TCCAATCATACATACATAAATGCACGCATGCATACATACATACATACATACATTACATACCTAAATGCAGACGTAAGTAAAGACATACATGTATACATCCATACATGCATACACACATGACGATCTACTCGCCGGCCGACCTACCTACCTACATACGTACATACATGTATGCATGCATGCATGCATACAAACATACATACAACCATACATACAGACATATATACCACACATACATACATACATACATACATACATACAGACATACATACATACATACATGCATACATACTCGTATATCTCCATGCATACATACATACACATATCCATACTAGCATGCATACATGCACACATAGACACATGTGCATGTATATGTATATATATATATGTAGATACATGTAACTATAAAATTGAACCCCCAAAAAATGCAGTGGCGCTCCGTGCAATGCACCTTGTTCCTTGTGGGTTCGAATGCAGGCGGCGTGCGCGCGCGTGGACGTGGGGCCGGCCACCGCCAAGTCGGAGTGGGTTAGGATCTCCTAAGCGGGAGCGACTTGACAACGCAAGCTCTGGCCAGCTCAGGGCGTTTCTATGCCCGGAGGCGCGAGTAAGTCTCACGCGACTGGTCGGGGCAGACTGAAGCAGGGCATCCTCCTCCTCGTAATCTTCCTCCGCATGTTCCTCCCCCATCTTTATCCTCTTCTTCTTCATCCTCTTCCTGATCTTCCCTCCTTTTCCTCATTCCGCTTCCTTCTCCTCTCCCTTTTCTATTCCTCTACTTCTTCATGCTTTTCTTCCACTTGCTATGTTCGGCATGCGCGTTGCTGGGCTGCCGGCTTCTTGCAGATGGCGCGCTGGACAGGCACGACGCGCGGAACCGGGGAGTGGGGCCCAAGAATGGACAAATGTAGGAAAATCATTGGAAGAGCGAGGGTTTGGGTCTTCTCGCCTTGTCGCTTCCGATTGGCTCTTGAGGCGTCGAGACAGCTCCAAGACGTCTCCAACTGAGGCCATTGACGAACCCCAAAGAGGTCCAAGGCTGGCGCAACAGGGCCCAGAGTGGGAAAAGCAGAGAAAACGCAGTAGAAGAGCAATGTGTTCGGCCTCTCGCTTTTTCACTTCCGTTTGGCTCGGGGGGCGCCCAGACGACCCCAGGACGGCCACAGGGAGGCGCAAGACAGGCCCGAGGATTCGAAAGTCTTCTGAGAGAGCGGGGAGGAGGGGGGGGGGACGCTTTCCGGCCCCACAGGGCCCGGAGAGGGGAGCCCAGAGATGGACAAATGTAGGAAAATCATAGGAAAAGCAAGGCTATTGGTCTTCTCGCCGTGTCGCTTCCGATTGGCTCTTGCGCCGTCACGATGCCTCCAAGACGGCTCCAGATGAGGCCCCAACCGAGCCCCAAATAAGCCCAAGGCTGGCGCAACAGGGCCCAAAGCAGAGAAAACGCAGTAAAAAAGCAATGGTGTCGGTCTTCTCGCTTGTACACTTCTGCTTGGCTCGGGGGACGTCAAGACGACCCCAGGATGGCCACAGCAAGGCGCAAGACAGGCCCGAGGAGGCGAAATTCGTTTGGGACGGGGGGCGCGGGGGGGGGGTCTCCCCGACCGTATAAAAATATGTAAACAGGAATGGATGTACGCAAGTATCGGGGATCTCGGGGATCCCACGGCCCTGGATGATGCATCGAGCGCCGCGGCCTCTCCAGAGAGCTCCAGAGGGCTCTGGAGAGAGAGTTCCACGGAACGCTCCTGGAGCGATGTGTCCTGCTCCTGGACCCGCCCGACTCTGCCCTCAGCAGCCCGACCACGTCCCCCCCCCTCCCCGCAGATGCGGCCACAGGTATGGCAGCGCGGCGCAAGCGCGGATCCGTCTTCGCGCCGGCCCCTCCCTCGCATCCCTCCCCCAGAGGCAGCGTGCAGCGGCAGCAGCAGGACACCGGCCGCCACTCGGCGGCGAGCGATGGGGGGGGGGAAGGAGCGGGCCCTCCCAGAAGGCTCGGAGGCTCGAAGGCTGGGCGGCTCGGGCTGGCCCCCCCAGCCCGCATCCCCAGGCGCCCCAAGAATCAAACCGACAAGTCGGATCGGCGATCGAAACGAATCGGATCGGCGGAAATCGGCAGCCGAGTCCGGAAAACTAGCATCGGCATAATTCGGCAGGCTAGAGGCCTCCATTAAGAGATCGGATCCCAACTCGGAATCCGAAGCCGAATCGAATCGGAATCGGAAACCATCGAAATCGAATCGAATAGGACCGGAGGCATCGAAATGAGCCATGCTTCCCTCCCTGACCCCCTTCCCTGGGAGCAGGGCCGTCCACTCCACAGCACAGACGAAGACCGATCTCAAGCCGGCAACGACACCGAGACAGGTCGGAGCCGACGGGGACCCCGCAGGCGCCCCAGCACAAAGCCCGGCGACGCGGCAAGAGAACACAAACAGCCTGCCGAGCTGGGCCGACCGAACGCAGCCGAAAGGCAATGCGGCCCGGGCTGGCCGAACAGTGTGCAGGGGTCGCAAGGGTCGCCTGAAGGGAGCAGTGCTGGTCCTGTCTGCCAGCTCTGTCTTCGTCTTCCTTCGCTGCTGCCCCCGATCCGCCTTCTGTGCTGCTGCAGCACTGCGACAAAGCACCGAAACGACCCACGGAATGGCCCCAGAGGACCGCTCGGGTCGAGCCACTGCCCGCGCGCCACCCGCCCTGGGCGCCAGGCCCGGAGGGCCGCACGAAAAGAGGCGGCGCGCTCGCCAGGTTGTCGGGGCCGAGCTGGTTGATGATGCCAGGCAGGAGCTCCTCCGGCGGCACGGAGCCAAACTCAGGTCGGGCGTGCCGCACTGCCCCACTACGGGCGGATTTCGGGCGACGAGTTTTCAAGAATCGTCAAGCAAATACCCCAAAAATGGTCAAAAAATGTTATAAAATCGCCCCCGCAGGCGGATTCTGGACGAAGATGCAAAAATACTCCCAAAAATGCTTAACATTTGTTGTTGCTGTTTTTTGTTAACCGTCCCCCGACTAGTTTTTGACTACATATCCCTCCTGCAGAGGGGCCCGACGTAGAGCTGGACGCGCGCGGCGCCGCGCGCGGCGAAGGGCGCGGAGCGCGGTGGCGCGGGCGGCCTGCGCCCGCGCGGCGAGGAGGCCGCAGCGGCGGCGGGGGGGGGGCTCTCCGGGGGGGCCCCCGCCGGACACGGCCGCTCTGGACGGCCAGCCGCTGCGGCTCATCCGTCGGACGTCCTGATGCCCGATGGCTGGAAAACTCGCCGATCGCAGCCCGTCTCCTCCTCCGTCTCCTCCTCCGTCTCCTCCTCCTCCCCCTCCTTCTGTTGTGGCTCCTCGCCCTCGTCCTCCACGTCCTTGTCGCGTCCTCCTGTGCCTTCTTATCTTCCTTTTCATTATGTGCCTCCTGCTCTTTCTACTCGCCCGTCTCCTCCTCCTCGTCTTCTTATTTGCTTATTTACATTGGGTGGTCTGATAATTAGTATCATGGTTGGTACAAATATTATCATTGGTATTGTGAATACTCGTACGCAATACAACATTAATCTGATTAGAAATGATCCTCCTCATCATCATCATCATCATCATCATCATCATCATCATCATCATCATCATCATCATCATCATCATCATCATTATCCTCCTCTTCCTCCTGCTCATCTTGCTCCTATGGATCCTGATCCTCATCCTCCTTATCCAGCTTGCTCTGCTACTCCTGAGGTCCTACCACATGTGCTTTGACCATCATGTTGCTCATCTTTGTGCTCTTACCTTACCTGCCACAACTCCTGCGAATATTCCAAATCATCCTCGCCGTCCGCCCTTCCTCATCAGCATTCCCCTCCTCCAGCACTGCAAGTTGCGTGCGTGACAGGGTGTGCACAGCACACGATTCACCCCGAGCACACCCAGATCCCCTTCCTGCTCCTCCTCGTCATTTTTCTTCTTTGGCGGACATTCTGAGAGCATCTGCACTGCTCCACTCTTAGCGCGCCGACAGTAAGATTCGAACGTCATCCGTGCAGCAAGGACGAGCCTTCACACAGAGGAAACATTCGCACCCTTGAGCGGCCCAGGAACCTCCGAATCGGTCCGAAGGAAGGGCGGGAGCGGGAGGGCGAGCCAGGATGCCCACGGAGAGGGCCTGGGGAGAGAGATGGGAATGGGGGAACCAGCAGGTCCCGATACCGCTACTTCCTGGACCTCTCCAGGGGCGCGTTCAAAAAGCGGATCTCGAGGCGAGTC